CCTTAAAAGGCCCCATTAAAGTTGTAAAGAATATAAAGATAAACACAAATGTTTTTATTCCTTATAAGAGGTAAATGGGAACAAACTTATTAAACGTAAAAGACGCTAACATTTTGTAACCACTTAATCTTCTTTCTTTTGGGTCTCCAGGACCTTCACTCACTGATTCTTCCATTAAATAAGGGCTGGGGTGGGTTGCTGAAGTGCTTTGGTACTTATCCTTTATATTAAATATAGTGAAAACTATGTATGAGATTAATCTCTCTTGTGTTGAAATGTAAGTGAATTTTATGTAACAAAGGAGACATCTCTGTTGCTGACAAATAATAGAAGGATGGAGAATAAGTAACAATATGTATGAGAGAGTGCCCATGTAGAGCATTGATCTAGTTCACACCTTTTTTACAACTCCATCTCGAATCCGATCAAGAATAGCAGGTACTGCTGTCAATAGTGTGGGCTTCAACACAGTGACATCTCCCTTGGTTCCTTTCTTGATTTTATTAGATGTATCAGTCATAGTCAGAGGAGAGCCATAACCAATTGCACAACCTGCAGCCAGCATTACAGACTGGACAACCACAATAAGTTAGTATTGGGGATAATACCATCAACTACTGCTATAGTTAGAAGAAGGCTAAGAAGACATCACCTCTGCAGCCATTTCAAAAACATGAGCAAGGGGCAAGTATGCCAGGTACACATCCTTGCTACCTAGATTTGGTATCACTGTCATAACCGCTGCTGTAGTGGCTACTATGTTCCCATGAGTAATCATAACACCCTGAATGATTAAAAAATATCAACGCTCAAAATCAAAGGTAATAACACAGAGCTGTTGGGAATACTCTTAATTCTCAATGTTAGCAGACTAGAAAATTTTAATCATATCTGCAGAATGAGCTAATATGGGTATTGGTTATAATTTACCACCTAAAAACATGTTCACAATAAGGTAATACCGAGACTCAAGTCAATACTCTAACTACCCATGCTTACAACCACAATAGTTAACAGGTATCGAGTTGTTGATACATTTAAAAATCAAAATTTTGGAGTCTGGACAAAAAATTTTGCAAGGACGTAGTGAATAATGAATATCAGACACAGAAAGAGACTACACCTAGAACTAAAGTTGAAGAAGAAACAAACCTTTGGCAGACCTGTACTCCCACTTGTGTACATGATAACTGCAGTATCATTCTTGGAAGGCAGGCTTGGCTCAACAGGACTTTCTTTCCCAAGTTTCTCAACTTCAATAAAAGATGCAATTGTCCAACCACTCAAACTTCCTGAGAAAGAATCTTCTTTCTCATCATCTTCAAAGTAAATAACGTTTTGTATAGATGTTAGTCTTGATCTTATTGCATCCAACTTCCTCAACTGCTTGGAGTCACAGATCAGAGTAGATACTTCAGTCTGTCCACATTTCAAAGCTTCAAGTGAGAACATGCCCATCACTTTTAGCTACTACAGTCATCAACTGTCAACTCTTTCATCTATTTCTTAAAATTATGCAAGAGATGATAATTTCCTACCTCATTTAGTGAGTGGATCAGGGCATCCTCTCCTAGAGAAGCATAAATGGTAACAACTGTTACATTCTGCCTGAAGCAACCCTGAAGTTTAGTAAGCAAAGGTTTTCATTAAAATTTGTGAATTCAGAACTGTTAAGCCAAAAGGTAATGGAATGACTCATGGAATTAACACAAATATAGCAAATTTACCTGAAGGGTAATGAGCCACTCCGCCCTTGTATCAGAGAAAATAGCAACACGGCTATCCATAACATGGCCTAACTTAAGAAGACCAGATGCAAAATTGGACACACGAGCAAACACTTCTCCATAGGTTTCCCATTCATAGTCTCCTAAATGAAGTTTCTCAAACTTCCTGTCATCACTAGATGTAACGAACTCCCTTTGTATTAGTTTTCTTGTTCCAAGAAATTGATTTTGCGTATATTTATCACATGATTGCTCAAACAGATGAGCCATGGTTGGAGCTCCTTTCCAAGGAACTTCAACCAACTCAGTTTTTCTAGCATTACGTATTGCATAACCTCCCTCACCACTAACTTCAACAGGCACACCTCTTATTTTTCCTTTTTTCTTTGCAAAGAACAAAGCTGAAAACAAAACAGGAACAAGGATGCTTATGACTATGGCTGCCAGAGCTCCACATTCTCCATGATCTTTCCATATGCCACTGATATCTAGACTCTTTAACCACGAGGAACTACCCTTTGGATCAACCATCCTTCAGCCGTCCTTCCTAAGCAGAACACAATCTTGATTACCTGAATTAAGAAATTCAAGACAAAGGGAAAACGCTTTATATGGAACCCTCTTCGACTAATAAGAAAACAATACTGATTTGGACCATTGTACATCAAAAATACTTTATTTTTTACAGCAAAAAGAAAAATATATTTTGACCAAAGCAATATAAAAAAAAATATCAAAACCCAAAGAAGAAGAAGGAAGAAGAGGAAAGAAGAAGAAGAGCAAGCAGCAGCGAAGAAAATCAATGGCCTATAGCATTATAAAAAAAACAAGATTCAAACAAGTTCAGCATCAGCTACTAGAACAACAACCAACATCAGCCCCTCAAGAATTTCAAGGCAAAGTATACAACAAAACAATTTCGCAACCCCATACAAGAAATTGAAAAAATAAAAAGAAAAGATGTTGATCGAACTATAATAATACCTTTGTGAGTAGGATGAAATGTTTTGTGTGTCTCTCTATTCTAGTAAAGGCATCGTTTTTAATAGTAAGCAGTATTCTAACACAGAACCGAAGGAATACAGCATGAAGTGTTGGCATCACAGATATACGATGAAGAATCCACACGACACCTGTAGCGTGACGAGGTTAAGATTAATTACAATATTATTATTATTTTTTGGAGAGTCTTTAATAGTTTTTTTTATTTTTTAATACTAATTTGGTCTGTATGATTATTATTTCAGTCTTAATATTTTTTTCAATTTAATTTTAAATTTTATCAATTTTATTTAATTTATTTTTTTATAAATAATTAATGGAATCTAAACAGTCATTTTAAGTTTGTGATTTTTTATTTTATTTTTATTTGTTTAATTTAAAAAAGTATTCATATACCAATTTACTATAATATTACGTGATAATATCAATGTCTAATGTCGTGTCATGTATCATCATTTTATATTTAATTTGATTTCTATATAATTTAATTTAATTTTTGTTTAAAATAAAGTAATTTTTTAAATTATAATTAAATTTAATTTTTGTCACATACTAATGTAATATTTTTGTTTCTTTATTAAATATTTTTAGTTTAAAATTAGAAACTAATATTATTAATTTAAAAAAGGGTTAAATATGTTTTTAGTCCCTAAACTATTGGCCGTTTCTGGTTTTCGTCCCTCTTTCAAAATAAGGTACAATTTGGTCCTCATTCTTTTCGAAACGTTCGTTTTAGTCCTAAAAAACTAACACCGTTAAAAATTTGGTCCTCATTTAGTCAACAAAACCAGGACTAAAACCAAAGTTTCGAGGACTAAAACGAACGTTTCGAAAAGAATGAGAACCAAAAAGAATGACGACCAAAATTGTACCTTAGTTTGAAAGAGGGACGAAAACCAGAAACGACCAATAGTTTAGGGACTAAAAACATATTTAACCCTTAAAAAAATTAAGAGGTTAAAAATAATATAAAATATTAAAAATCAAATCAACAATAAAATTTTCATACAACAATCTACTATAAAATAAATTTGTCAAATTTAAAATATAAATATATATATATATATATATATATATTGTTAATTTGGAAGAAAACACTTTTTAAAGTTTTAAAAAATTTCCGGTTGTATAAGGTTGTTTTCAAAAGACTTTTACACTTCAAAGATTTAACAATATAATAGGCAAGAATAAGGAAAGAACACAACACAAGATTTATACTGGTTTGACTCTTTAAGAGTTTACATCCACTCTTCCTTCAACAACCTTAATTGGAAGGAAATTCACTAACACTAAATGTTAGAAAATAAATCATATCCCGAGATTTATGAGAGAATATATTGTTATTATTATCCATATTAAATAGTTGATTGACAGGAATAATGTTGCATTATTATAGAATTAGATTAGAGTAATTATAGGAATAAAATAGCACAATTATAGATACCCTCTCTTGTATATATCTTTGATTTTTTATTCAAAAATAATAAGATAGATTTTCTCCCTTTTTCTTCCTTTTACATGGTATCAGAGGAAGAACGATCCTCTGCTCAATTTTTTTCTATCCTTATTCTCATGGCTAACTATGGAAATGAATCAAATTCCAGTTTTTATTCTCTCCATCATTCTGACCATCCTGGAATGGTTCTTGTTTCCAAGTCTCTAGATGGAGACAACTATTCAACTTGGCGTAGAGCCATGATCATCTCTTTGAATGCAAAATCCAAATTGGGTTTCGTTGATGGAACTCTTACGGCACCTTCTATTGAGGCCAAACCAGAATAATATATAGCATGGAAAAAATGCAATGACATGGTGTTATCTTGGATCTTTAATTCTTTGGCACCTGATATTGTAGATAGTGTTATTTTATATGACACTGCTCATGAAGTTTGGGCAGATCTTCAAAATCGTTTCTCTCAAAGCCACGCACCACGAATTTTTCAGATTGAGAGAGACATTGCTTGCTTAGCTCAAGATCAACTAACATTTGCAACCTATTACACCAAGTTAAAAAAATTATGTGATGAGTTAGGCTCCTATAGTAATGCAACCTGCACTTGTGGAGTTGACAGTAAAAGGCGCAAATTGATGCAGTTTCTTATGGGGTTGAATGACTCTTATAATGCTATTCGTGGCCAACTCCTTTTAATGAATCCTTTGTCTGATGTTACACAAGCTTATTCTTCCATCATTCAAGAAGAAAAACAACGACATTTGGGNACACCCTGAATGATTAAAAAATATCAACGCTCAAAATCAAAGGTAATAACACAGAGCTGTTGGGAATACTCTTAATTCTCAATGTTAGCAGACTAGAAAATTTTAATCATATCTGCAGAATGAGCTAATATGGGTATTGGTTATAATTTACCACCTAAAAACATGTTCACAATAAGGTAATACCGAGACTCAAGTCAATACTCTAACTACCCATGCTTACAACCACAATAGTTAACAGGTATCGAGTTGTTGATACATTTAAAAATCAAAATTTTGGAGTCTGGACAAAAAATTTTGCAAGGACGTAGTGAATAATGAATATCAGACACAGAAAGAGACTACACCTAGAACTAAAGTTGAAGAAGAAACAAACCTTTGGCAGACCTGTACTCCCACTTGTGTACATGATAACTGCAGTATCATTCTTGGAAGGCAGGCTTGGCTCAACAGGACTTTCTTTCCCAAGTTTCTCAACTTCAATAAAAGATGCAATTGTCCAACCACTCAAACTTCCTGAGAAAGAATCTTCTTTCTCATCATCTTCAAAGTAAATAACGTTTTGTATAGATGTTAGTCTTGATCTTATTGCATCCAACTTCCTCAACTGCTTGGAGTCACAGATCAGAGTAGATACTTCAGTCTGTCCACATTTCAAAGCTTCAAGTGAGAACATGCCCATCACTTTTAGCTACTACAGTCATCAACTGTCAACTCTTTCATCTATTTCTTAAAATTATGCAAGAGATGATAATTTCCTACCTCATTTAGTGAGTGGATCAGGGCATCCTCTCCTAGAGAAGCATAAATGGTAACAACTGTTACATTCTGCCTGAAGCAACCCTGAAGTTTAGTAAGCAAAGGTTTTCATTAAAATTTGTGAATTCAGAACTGTTAAGCCAAAAGGTAATGGAATGACTCATGGAATTAACACAAATATAGCAAATTTACCTGAAGGGTAATGAGCCACTCCGCCCTTGTATCAGAGAAAATAGCAACACGGCTATCCATAACATGGCCTAACTTAAGAAGACCAGATGCAAAATTGGACACACGAGCAAACACTTCTCCATAGGTTTCCCATTCATAGTCTCCTAAATGAAGTTTCTCAAACTTCCTGTCATCACTAGATGTAACGAACTCCCTTTGTATTAGTTTTCTTGTTCCAAGAAATTGATTTTGCGTATATTTATCACATGATTGCTCAAACAGATGAGCCATGGTTGGAGCTCCTTTCCAAGGAACTTCAACCAACTCAGTTTTTCTAGCATTACGTATTGCATAACCTCCCTCACCACTAACTTCAACAGGCACACCTCTTATTTTTCCTTTTTTCTTTGCAAAGAACAAAGCTGAAAACAAAACAGGAACAAGGATGCTTATGACTATGGCTGCCAGAGCTCCACATTCTCCATGATCTTTCCATATGCCACTGATATCTAGACTCTTTAACCACGAGGAACTACCCTTTGGATCAACCATCCTTCAGCCGTCCTTCCTAAGCAGAACACAATCTTGATTACCTGAATTAAGAAATTCAAGACAAAGGGAAAACGCTTTATATGGAACCCTCTTCGACTAATAAGAAAACAATACTGATTTGGACCATTGTACATCAAAAATACTTTATTTTTTACAGCAAAAAGAAAAATATATTTTGACCAAAGCAATATAAAAAAAAATATCAAAACCCAAAGAAGAAGAAGGAAGAAGAGGAAAGAAGAAGAAGAGCAAGCAGCAGCGAAGAAAATCAATGGCCTATAGCATTATAAAAAAAACAAGATTCAAACAAGTTCAGCATCAGCTACTAGAACAACAACCAACATCAGCCCCTCAAGAATTTCAAGGCAAAGTATACAACAAAACAATTTCGCAACCCCATACAAGAAATTGAAAAAATAAAAAGAAAAGATGTTGATCGAACTATAATAATACCTTTGTGAGTAGGATGAAATGTTTTGTGTGTCTCTCTATTCTAGTAAAGGCATCGTTTTTAATAGTAAGCAGTATTCTAACACAGAACCGAAGGAATACAGCATGAAGTGTTGGCATCACAGATATACGATGAAGAATCCACACGACACCTGTAGCGTGACGAGGTTAAGATTAATTACAATATTATTATTATTTTTTGGAGAGTCTTTAATAGTTTTTTTTATTTTTTAATACTAATTTGGTCTGTATGATTATTATTTCAGTCTTAATATTTTTTTCAATTTAATTTTAAATTTTATCAATTTTATTTAATTTATTTTTTTATAAATAATTAATGGAATCTAAACAGTCATTTTAAGTTTGTGATTTTTTATTTTATTTTTATTTGTTTAATTTAAAAAAGTATTCATATACCAATTTACTATAATATTACGTGATAATATCAATGTCTAATGTCGTGTCATGTATCATCATTTTATATTTAATTTGATTTCTATATAATTTAATTTAATTTTTGTTTAAAATAAAGTAATTTTTTAAATTATAATTAAATTTAATTTTTGTCACATACTAATGTAATATTTTTGTTTCTTTATTAAATATTTTTAGTTTAAAATTAGAAACTAATATTATTAATTTAAAAAAGGGTTAAATATGTTTTTAGTCCCTAAACTATTGGCCGTTTCTGGTTTTCGTCCCTCTTTCAAAATAAGGTACAATTTGGTCCTCATTCTTTTCGAAACGTTCGTTTTAGTCCTAAAAAACTAACACCGTTAAAAATTTGGTCCTCATTTAGTCAACAAAACCAGGACTAAAACCAAAGTTTCGAGGACTAAAACGAACGTTTCGAAAAGAATGAGAACCAAAAAGAATGACGACCAAAATTGTACCTTAGTTTGAAAGAGGGACGAAAACCAGAAACGACCAATAGTTTAGGGACTAAAAACATATTTAACCCTTAAAAAAATTAAGAGGTTAAAAATAATATAAAATATTAAAAATCAAATCAACAATAAAATTTTCATACAACAATCTACTATAAAATAAATTTGTCAAATTTAAAATATATAAATATATATATATATATATATATATATATATATTGTTAATTTGGAAGAAAACACTTTTTAAAGTTTTAAAAAATTTCCGGTTGTATAAGGTTGTTTTCAAAAGACTTTTACACTTCAAAGATTTAACAATATAATAGGCAAGAATAAGGAAAGAACACAACACAAGATTTATACTGGTTTGACTCTTTAAGAGTTTACATCCACTCTTCCTTCAACAACCTTAATTGGAAGGAAATTCACTAACACTAAATGTTAGAAAATAAATCATATCCCGAGATTTATGAGAGAATATATTGTTATTATTATCCATATTAAATAGTTGATTGACAGGAATAATGTTGCATTATTATAGAATTAGATTAGAGTAATTATAGGAATAAAATAGCACAATTATAGATACCCTCTCTTGTATATATCTTTGATTTTTTATTCAAAAATAATAAGATAGATTTTCTCCCTTTTTCTTCCTTTTACATGGTATCAGAGGAAGAACGATCCTCTGCTCAATTTTTTTCTATCCTTATTCTCATGGCTAACTATGGAAATGAATCAAATTCCAGTTTTTATTCTCTCCATCATTCTGACCATCCTGGAATGGTTCTTGTTTCCAAGTCTCTAGATGGAGACAACTATTCAACTTGGCGTAGAGCCATGATCATCTCTTTGAATGCAAAATCCAAATTGGGTTTCGTTGATGGAACTCTTACGGCACCTTCTATTGAGGCCAAACCAGAATAATATATAGCATGGAAAAAATGCAATGACATGGTGTTATCTTGGATCTTTAATTCTTTGGCACCTGATATTGTAGATAGTGTTATTTTATATGACACTGCTCATGAAGTTTGGGCAGATCTTCAAAATCGTTTCTCTCAAAGCCACGCACCACGAATTTTTCAGATTGAGAGAGACATTGCTTGCTTAGCTCAAGATCAACTAACATTTGCAACCTATTACACCAAGTTAAAAAAATTATGTGATGAGTTAGGCTCCTATAGTAATGCAACCTGCACTTGTGGAGTTGACAGTAAAAGGCGCAAATTGATGCAGTTTCTTATGGGGTTGAATGACTCTTATAATGCTATTCGTGGCCAACTCCTTTTAATGAATCCTTTGTCTGATGTTACACAAGCTTATTCTTCCATCATTCAAGAAGAAAAACAACGACATTTGGGCACCGCACGTGACACAATAGAAGCTTCAGCCATGGCTGTTCAAAAAAAATGAAGTAGTAGCCCTTGTTGTTCGACGCAAACAAGGCGTTTCTTGTCGTTTTAATTCATCTAATCGAAAGCTGCTACATTGTTCTCACTGTGATAGAGATCATCATACAAAAGACACATGCTGGAAGTTACATGGTTATCCTCCTGAACACTCAAAGCATGGAGCAACCAAGAATGCTTACTCTAAGCATAATGGGAGTAGTCAGTCTTTAGCTAATATTGTCACAGCGACTCCAATGATGCAACAGATGGAGTTTGCAATGCATGGATTAACTGAATTGCAACTCCAACAAATGTTGTCTATTATACAGGGTAATGAATCATCTCAATCAGCTAATCCTAAGGCCAACAATGCCAATGTTTCTTCAGGTTTGTCACCACCCAAACTTATAATTGATAATGGGGCTACCAATCACATTATTTCTTCACCAACCTTGCTTGTTAACAGTAAAGAAAACACTTCTTTACCACCAGTTGTTATGCCAAATGGTGACCAGGCCCCAATTATCTCTACTGGCGCTCTACCTTTGAGCCCAATTGTTTATTTAAAAAATGTGCTTGGGGTGCCATCTTGCAAAGTAGATCTGATGTTGGTAAGTCGAGTCACACGAGATTTAAACTGTTCAGTAACCTTTTTCCTTTTGGGTGTATGTTGTAGGATTTGATGACGAGGATGACAACTAGTTTGGGTAAACAACAAGGCGGACTTTATTACTTGGTTGCAATGACATCAGTAAAACTCTCATTCAATCCATAACAGCCCATGCCACCAAGTCATCTCCTCCTTCAAACACTTCTACTACCTTATGGCATTGACGACTAGGACATCTATCTCCATCTAGATTAGACTTCATGGCTAAAACTTTGTTAAATCTCTCTTTAGAGTCAAATAAAACTTGTGATGTTTGTACTCTTGCAAAACAGACACGACTTCCTTTTTCAACTAGTTTAATTTCTTCACTTTAAAGCACGTGTATATGGTGCTCATTCTAGATCTTTAGCACCCACCTTATGCTTGTACACGTGGCATTAGATCCACATTTGTAGGAATCTTTTAGCACCATCGATACCCAACATAGGAGCTGAATTCCTTCTATAAATTCACTCCTAGATCTCCTTTGTAATCACTTTTGAAGGATATTGAGTTTTACTCTGCTGATGCATTTTCAGCACCCTAAACTCTGTCCAAAAGTCATTCCAATGAGCTTCCCTTCTCCATCTAGCTTCCTTCCAGTGGAAGGCCGCCTGAGCTAGCTTTCAACCTCCCAAACAGCTCTTCAACCATCACTTACACCACTGATTTTCACTCTGCATCTCCGCTGCCCATCTCTGGTTTCCATTTTTCGCTGCATTCAACCTGTCACTCTTTCTGGAGCAACCTCATCAAGTGTTATTCAGAGCCCTGGTGTGTTCCACATCACGCTCCAGCTAAGTTTTCTTTCATTAAATACTGTCATCAACATTCCCTTCGTGTCTTTTTTTCTTGAATCTGTGCACTGTTTCATTAAGTTTTTCAATTACAGTAGATTCCATTGCGTTGATTCATTTGTTCAAGCTTTTATTGCTTTATTTCCATCATTTTAATCGGTCCATTTCTTTGCTTGAGTATTTTAATTTTGAAATCTGTTTTGTTTGTCTTTAGTCATGTGTATTTGATTCATTTTGTCAAAATCCTGAGTTAAAACTGTGCCTGGATAAATCTGCTTGACTTGAGTGGTTATTCAATAGTTGCATATCATAAGAGCAATAGCTTGAGTGCATCATGATTGCCATCAAGTGCAGTTTCAGTTTTGTGCAGTAATTAAATCTGCTTGAATATTTTGGACTGCAATGCGTGTAGCAAATGAAGTCTGATTGTGTTTTTGCATTCTGTGATATGAAAGATGTGCATACCAAATGAACAGTGAATTCTTAAGTCAAGAAGCTTTGTTGCAGCATCATACAATATCCAGAAACTACATCACTGCAGTTGGCTGAGCTACAACTTCCATAGCTGAGTCATTTGTTTCAGTTTTTAATCTGGTTTAAGATCTAGTTCATTGTTGAACATCTTAATTCGGTTTTTCAGTGTCCTCTAGTTTTAAATCCTTGTGTTGAACTCATTTTGAGTGCTCAAAATCCTTTCACTTCTGTGTGCTTGAATTTGGTCTGTGGAGTTGTTAAAATTGATCTTAAAAAGGAACTTCAGTAGTGAATTTTGGAAATATTGATATCTAACCACAACTGGTAGCATCTACAAGTTTAAAATCATAAAATAAACTTGTTCATGCCATAAGATTGTGTGTTTTAACAACTTTGTGCAATTTGAATATTCCAACCACCAATGCAACACTTATTTTTTTTGAAACAAGTTGCTTTCCTCTACATACATGTTTGTTGGTTTGGTACATCAATAATTGTGTGAGAATTGGTAGCAAAAGCTTCGTCAAATTGCATTAAAAGCAATCTCAAATGTCAAAAGAAAATGAGAACAAACACTCTTAAAAAGCTGACCAAACTAGTGCCAGTTCTGATTTATACTTGATGCACCAGTTTCAATATTTTTCATTCAGGCATTTTCACAAACAGTTTTGCCTAATTCTCAATTGAGCTTGAATTTGATATTATGCAACTTGTAAATGTTTTCTTGCTTTCTGAATCTAATCTAGAGCATTTCCTAGGATCCTTTTGAGTGCCTCCGTTATTGGAATCCCTTTTAATTGCTTGCTTTTAGTTGTTGAAATTTCTGCACACAAGCTGTTTGTAAGAATTCCGGTGGTGCATTCTGGTTCTGCAATTTTTGACAACAGTAGTGTTGTTTCCTGCACTCGACACTGATTGTTGGTGGTTGGTTTGAGCTCTCTTTTGGGTGCA